TACTATTCCTTTCGCTATTACTAGTCTCCCAAATAGACTGGTCCACACCTTAAATTTTTCCAAAAGTTATTTTCATTCGTGATTTCTTATTTATGTTTATATTTATATTTATATTTATATTATTATGTTATGTTATCTTTATTTATTTAGTTATTTATTTTATCATAATTTTTTTTTATATGCATATTTCTTACATCTGAATATATATTTTTTTTTTGTTACTTCTTTCTCGATTTATTTCTCATTATTTATTCTAGTATTTCACAGTAGATAAATTAGCTGACCATATTATCATCATCGGCTTTACTACTATTGAACATCCCCTAGTTTTATTCAAATTCTTTTTCAAATTCTTTGGATATTTGATTCATTTTAATCTTTCTTTTATCCTCCATGTGTCCTCATTTAAGTCTTATCTTAAAAGAGCTTAATTATGGGTACATGAATCGTAAAACCATCATTCTACACACAATTGAATTCCATTCTAAAGTCATTGCTTCTTAAATGTCCTTATTCTAATTCTTCAATCTCTACTTCATCACTATGAGTTATCTTTGACCTTTATCCCTTTCTCCAAATGTTATTATAATCTTTATTCTTCATTTAGCACCTCGATCTTAATTTTCGTACTTAACTTCTTTAAGCAGATTTATATAAATTTCTATACTTAGATTAATAAATTAGTATTAGTCCTTCTACATAACTCCCTACCAGATACATTAAATTCCTTTAAGTTTACTTAAGTTTTCCTACAGCATGTCCAGTTCCTTCCCCATTCATTCCCAAGTTATTTCATCATCTTCTACATTCATTTTGATTAGAATAGCTTTATGAAACTTTAGGGTCTAAACCCATTAAGCATCTAACATTGCTAGAATCTTAATTATATCATATATAATACACTTACTACAGTTTACTTACTACATTTTTTTTTTTTTAATTTTTTTAAGTCCTAATGTAGTCTCGGGATAGACAATTATGATAAATAAATAAATAAAAAATAAATCAAAACATACAATCATGGTAAATAATTTTTAAATTGTAAAATAGATAAATTTTGACATGCCGACCAAAAACAAATAAATCAAATCAATTTATTGCAACTTCAAAACAATTTCCAATAGCAAATAATAAAACATTTTTTCTCGACATCAAAGTTTTCAAATAAATTCACTTATATTGGTCTTTAAAACTTCAAATTTCTTTTCAAAAATTTCAATAACTTTCGAAGCAGTGTCTCTTGCGAATCAAGGTGTATTGGGTGATCAGGGCCATTACCACCAATTTCAACGATCTTCTGCCTTTCAAAATAAATGGAGGGAATTTAGCAAAACTCAATATTTATTTTATAAACGTCAGTTACCCAGGAACCTGTTGTTTATACTTCACTATTATTTTCTGTACTTTTTTAATTTCTCGTCCTAATTTCATACAGATTTCCTCCACTCGTTGCACGAATGCGTTCCACGGCACTAAAAATGAAATTCCATCCAGACTACGCTCCTTTGCGGTTACGGGCCGATCCCAACATAGGAGCTCTCTATTTAATTCCTATGTTCCGCAATTGATTCCTAAGGCCCAACTTTCATGCTTCGATACAACTTTCATCACCCATTTCCATGACGGGACCGGCACTAGGGACCTGGTGGCTTAAGGCCCCCGAAGCCCCGTAGTAAGCCTAATCATTTAAGTTCCACATTTATCCATTAATTATGGGATTTAAGGCCCATTAAGCTTATTATACATATGCATCCAAAATACCAGTTCATATATTAAATCTGACTTTCATTTGCACTTACAACCCAACTGGACATACAATTTGCGGAAACTCTTACCTTTACATTTACATATTATTTCTGTCATTTAACAGTCTTCTATAAGTACGTTTTATTTCAAACTCCATAGGTTTCCTTTCCTTTCTATTACCTGAAAAAAAAATAGTACGGCAGGGGGTGAGCCCCAAACTCAATTGAGTAGGGTTTAGATAACCCTCTCACCCCACACAATTCACACGATGCTAAATATTCTATTTGGAAAAAAAAAAACCCCACCCCCCATTTAATATTATGATCATTGCAATTTGTCACACAAATTGGCAATACAAACAGCAATCACAGTATCACCTTCATATAATCCAGTCACTGGAAAATTATGTCAGTTCGGCACCACCTGAAACCCCAACGAGCCGTCCTCACACATGGCTTCGCCCTCTCATACATGTGCACCAGGGAGCCCGATCCCCCATTACGGCCAAACTGGTCTAATCCTCACTGACCAGTCCTCTCATTGTTTTTTTTTTTCATTCTCTCTTTTTTTTTTTTTTTTAATATACCGACAGGAGGCAACCCGGTGATCTCCTCCATCCAATCTAGATCATCAAGTGCTCACCACAGGAGGCCACCCTGCGGGCTACAATCAAATCTAGATTATCAGGTGCGCAACAACAAGAAGCCATCCTGTGAATTCCCATATAATCCATATCATCAGGTGCACACAGGGGCGCCGATCTCCCATTTTCCTGGCCGACGGTCAAATATCATATCATATTTAGGATCCATATCACAGACCGTCCTCACAAACCCATGGTGGTCCACTTCATCCCAATTCAACACAAACAAAGCATAGCATTATCACAACACAATTAATCAAACATTGCAATTAATTGCAGACATATTGATCAGTTGAACATCTAATGCAATGCAAAATTAGACACCATTCTCAAATGCAATTAAATAATTAAATTGCGGATGATACTAGTTATCTAACACTATTCACAGTTCTTTATTGTCCTTTAAAAGGACTGTCTTTATCACTGCATGCTTCCAGCTTTTTGTCCTCGCATTTTGAAGTTCTATAAACCTCTAAATTAAAAGAAAATTCTAAAGTAAGAATTCTAATTCGAAAAATTGTATTTCACATTCGTTTATTAGTTTTGGTTACTAGTCATTTAATTCACTTATTAAATATATATATATATATATACCAACAAAAGGATGAGGATCGTTGACTAAAGGTCAATATACATATAAATAAGAATGCTATGATCAATGGGATCTATAAGTTCATATTATTTTAAAGGACCACAAAACAAATTATTTTACCAGTATGTTGATTCTGAAGTAAATGCTATTTATAATTAAAACAATATTTCTGATGTGGAAGATCAGACTAAGCCGCATCCACAGAGCATACTTATAATTAATTTATCAATTTAATATTTATCAATTAACTCAAGGAGAGTAATGAGCGACGAGAGAGACCACTGAATCTCTCTTCTCGTTCTCTTTTCTTTTTCGTTTTTTTTTTTTTTTTTTTTTCTAGAGATTTTTCTTATTGGTGGGATGGGTTTGGTCGATTCGATCTGATTTGGTTTAATCGTGGTTTTAGCTTGGTTTTTTCAATTGGTTTATGGATTTTTCATCTGGTTGTTCGAAAATTATATTTGATTTTTGGGTCCGGTTCAATTTATTTTGATTATTTGTTTCTTTGTTTAGTAATATTTTCTCAATTATTCATAAAATATTAATACCAAAGATATTTTAATTTTAGGCTGATTAATTTATTATAGTATACCTATAATGACACATTTTTAATCGTTAACATAGTGTTCCATTATTTTCATCGAAATTTTAAGTATATCCATAATGAAATTCTTAAGAATAAATATGTTTTTGACGAGTGTAAGCCTTTGCGTCCGGAAAATCTCTCAGATGAGTATTGGCGAACTCAGTTTCGAGATGAACTGCACGAGCAGTTTTATTATCCTGGAATAAGTTGGCAAGATGATTCCAGGCATCAAGTGCAGTATCCTCTGGATTTATAAATGACTTATTATGCTCTTAAACTTGCAAATTTTGATAATACTATATACTCTTTCATACTAATAGCAATAGATTTTATTATTTTTATGTTTATAAGCAAAATATTGATTTAGTATGTAGATAGCATAACTCCTGAAATATTAATTTTCACATTTTCAACTATTTAATAGATGTTTAATAAATCTAATTTTAAGTGTTCAATCAAATAATTCTGCAAGTTATGATAAGTCATAGTAAAAGTTGGATGTGCCATCACATCAAAGTAATAAAGTTAAGGGATGAATTTATGTATTTCGACTTGTTTTTTTTTGGAACAAATGCTAATTTGATCTCTAAACTTATTTAGCAAGGCCAAAAGATCTTTTGGGCCAATTTAGCCCTTAAACTTGTATAAAATGATTAAAAAGATAATGATTAAAAAGATCCGAATTCACTTTTTCGGCCAATTTAACCCTTGAACTTGTATTGATTTTTATAAATTAGTAATTGATTTAATTTAACATGATTGACCTTTTATTCCTTTTTGTCATACACTAAGAATGCGCATATCAAAATTTTCCAACACTTATGAATATAAATTTAAAATTTACAAAAATATCATTTCTTGTTATATAATAAATTTATAAACATGTATTATAACTTTAATTTATTCAATATAAAAAATGCATAGATTTCATAATTTTTGATCAACCAATAATAGAGGTTAATTTTAAAATATTAAAAATCATCAAAATCATCAATCAAGTTAAAAAGAGATACAATATATTTCATATATTATTTTTCTATATTTTATAATTAATTAATTTTTAAATAAATTAAATCAGCTCAATCCTAACTACAATTTTAATAATACAATTTTAATAAATATTTATATAATGAATAAGTAGAGGTAAATTGGCTCAAAATATCAAATATGATTTTTTAATCATTTTAAAAAATTTAAAATATTTAATAGTTATTTAATAGATAAATAAGTTCAGAGGTAAAAGAATTGGACTAAAAAGTAAGATAGAATCTTTTTAATTATTTTATATAATTTCAAGAACTAAATTGGATCAAATCGGAACTTTGTCACCCTGCTAAATAAGTTCAGGGACCAACTAACCTTTATTGTTTTATTATTATTATTATTATTCACACGCCCTTTACTTCTTCCCTACTTTTCCTATTTTTTTTTATTCCTATACAAGGAAAAGAAAACGCGAAAACAGAGTAAAGTAATAATGGGAGTAAGAGAAGTCATGGAAGAAGTGATTGCTGAACTCATTGTCAAAGAAGAAGTAAAAACTGTTATGGAAGAAGCGATCACTAAACTCACTATCAAAGAAGAACAAACAGGTCAGGAATTTCTCTGTCTTTATCTCTCGTTCTCTCAAAATTGCGCTCATATTTGAAAATAATCAGAGATTGATGCTAATTGTTGCTTTTGATTTTGATGTTTAATCAACAGAAATAATAAGGGAACTAAGGGATCGTACACCTGCTCACTATCTGTTTAAGATCGAAAACTTCTCTAAACTTTCTGATGCAAAGGTCGAGAATTTTCAATCAAGTGATTTTGAAGTTGGCGGATACAAATGGTGGGTTGATTTTTTAAGTTTGGCGGATACAATGGTGGGTTTTAATTTAATTCACATTTTTTTTTTTTTTTTTGCTAATAGGAAGCTAATAGGGTTTAAACTGCATGTACTTTTAACTGCATGTACTCTACTAATGGATTACTAGCCAAACAGCTTAGGCTAGGTTTGGTTAGCCATAATGTAACTTAATGTAATGTAATCAAAGGGATTCTAGAATCTAGAAATGCCTTTGCTTACAGTATTTATTTTATTGCTCTTGTTCACCAATATGCTGAGTGTCTATATATCACTCTACTAGAGTAGGTTAATATTTTTTTTTTTCCTTTAAGATATTGCTCAGTTGGTGCTGATGTATTGTATAATGTAAAGAAATTACTGTATTATATTTTTCTTTCTGATTATCTACTTTATGCAATGCATACTTTAATTTTATGCAATGCAGTTACATTTCTTTTTCAAAAATTTCTATAATTAAACTTTCAAAATACAATTTACATATTGTGTGGATCAAATCAATGAGGACTTCCAAATGAATTTCGATTTATACCAAATATGAAACATATGCATTTAGAAATAAATATCATAAAAGTTTATGAAATTCATTTATGTCATAAAATATGTTTATATTATAATTATAAATACTGTTAACTTTTTGTATTTGATTGTGCTAATTTTTGTTAGGCCAATGAGCACTACCTAACATTTTTCACTATTTTTTTGGTGCAGGAGGCTGTCTCTTTACCCTGAGGGAAATAAGAAAAAAAATGGAGATAAACACCTCTCTCTATATTTAGCACTATCCAATTCAAATGGATTACCCTTCGGTAGTGGGGTTAATGCTTTCTTCAAGTTGTTTGTTTATAATCAAATTGAAGATAAGTATTTGGCTGTTCAAGGTACTATATAGTTGATTTATACATACTCTGCCATAATTCAACTGTTATCTATTTTCATCAATTTACTGAACTATCTATATAATTTTTAACTGAAGCTATCTATAACTGCCATAATTCAACTGTTATCTATTTTCATCAATTTACTGAACTATCTATATGCTTTGATCTTTTGGGTTAGATGGTAAGGAAACAGCAAGGCGTTTTCGTGGAATGAAAACAGAATGGGGATTTGACCAATTTATTTCACATAATGCTTTTAATGATGCCTCAAATGGATACCTTATTGATGATTGTTGTGTATTTGGAGCTGAGGTTTACATAATGGAAAAATGTACTTATAAAGGTGAGTGCATGTCTATTGTGAAGGAGCTTGCTAACAACACCTTCACTTGGAATGTCCAAAGTTGGCAAAGCAAAGAAAGTCATAGTTCCGAGGTGTTTGATATTGGTGGGTATAAATGGTGAGTAAAGATGTGTTTTATAGCTTCAAAATTGATACGAATAACTTCAATTTTTTGCTATGTGCTATAATTTGTGTCTTTTCAATTTCATTTAGGAGTTTATTGCTTTATCCCAATGGGAGTGGGACAGAGATTGGCAAGAGCTTGTCCATGTTTTTATACTTAAAAGATTCAGTAACAAAGATTAATGCTGAATTCATTCTGCGTGTAAGGGATCAACTTTCTGGAAAACATCAAGAAAAGAAAGGTGAGTGCCATGGGCCCAAGAATAATTTATATTTCTCATATATTCCAGCTTATAGTAAAATCTGTAAGATTTTATAAGAGGTTAATAAGAAAGGTGGGTAGAATTTGGACTCTGGACATTTTTGTTCAATGTGCTTTGATACTATAAGAAGAAACCGCTAACCTAAAAGCTCAAACTTATAGGCGAGGATTCATTAATACTTTATATTTCTAAACATTTCTCTGCTTGAACAATAATCATGAAGAAAAGCCTTTTTCTGTTTCAAAAACATTGTTTACTTCTGTTTTTGCGGGTTAATTTTATTATTTCTGATGTTCTGTAGTTACTCGTGAATTCTGTACTAAAACCAACACCTGGGGTCACCATGATCTAATTCCTCTTAGAGATCTCAAGGATGCTTCGCAGGGATTCATAGTTGGTAATACCGTGGTTGTTGAAGTCCAAATGCCTTTCATGATAGTGGTCAAGGAGTTTCCTTGAAGATATTGTGGTGCTAGCTACACTTTCGACTTTTGGAGTAACAGAAAAAAAAAGAAGAAAATACAATTAGCCGAATTAGAAGACACTAAACTTGAACGTTTTTGAGTATGTTTTCTCCAGGTTGAATGTTCTTAATTGACACTAATATTAACTAAACTTAATGTTTTAGAGTATGTTTTCTCCAGGTTGAATGTTCTTAATTGACACTAATATTAACTAAACTTAATGTTTTAGAGTATGTTTTCTCCAGGTTGAATGTTCTTAATTGACACTAATATTAACTAAACTTAATGTTTTAGAGTATGTTTTCTCCAGGTTGAATGTTCTTCAAAATACTATGACATTCTATATACCAATTTAGTGTCTTCCATTAAGCTGTCTTGTGATTCAAGGATAATGTTTTGTTAATGTTATCTTGATGATGTTTGCAGAATAATTAACAGAAAAGAAAAAATCATGTAATGAATAGTGAGGGCTATATCCAATTTGAGGCCTTCTTATATCTCAGAAATTATTATTCGAGCAATAAAAATTCCATGCAGTTGATAATGTTGAGAAATCATTCAAGCTCTTTTAGGTTATGGTCTTATCTCTCAAACAACAAATTAAAATTTAATTGCAGCCTCCCATGGTTGATTTTTTGGAAGTTTACTGTTTTATTTCCATTGTAGTTGGTGAAATTAGTTACTTAGGATTGTTTTTTGGGTTGAACATTGAATCTGAAGTAACAAATTATTAAATTGAATGTGATTTAAATGAATTTAAGCTGTTGTTATGTGTGAATTTGAATGAATGTATTTTTTACATATTCTTGACCTTCTATATTCTTACATGTATATATTTTCTTACATAATAACATAAAATTGACATTTATATGTATTTTACTATTAGGGAACGCCAAATATTCTTTAAAAAAATAACTTATTTTCAACCTATTTAAGTGCATATAATTGATATATTAAAATGATATTAATTGTTAAGTAAGTTAGTAATTTATGCATCAACCAAAAAAAAAAAAGACATAATCGTCGTCCCCTCGGCTCTCTGTTTTTTGTGTGTTCTTTTAGATTTTGTTTTCTAAACCAACCTGCCTAGTTTTCTTCTTTGGTGGCGGTGTTTTTCTTTATCCCATTCAATTTCTAATCGTTTGGTAAATAAACTTTAGATTTTAGTTTCTCAACTCTCTGATAAGTTTTGATAAGATCTTGAGTGTTATTTTGGTACTTCTTTGTGGGGGTTTTATTAATTTTCTCTCCTTTTCATAGGGTTAATTCCTTGTTATGAGGAGTTTTATTGAAGAGTTTTATGTAGATTTTTTTATTTCTCTGACCAGTTCAAATATAATATAGATTATTTGGTTTTTGCTCTATAATTGGAAATTGTCAGATTTTCAAGTTTATGTAAGATTCTTCTACCAATGGAGCTTGGTTGCGTGATCTGATATTCCATTTTAAGTTTTGATTATATTAAACTCTTGTTGCGAGTGATTAGGTTGAAACAAGTTTCCAAAAACAAAGTTTGGGATAATTATTGTGAAAAGTTTCTTTTCTTGTCTATTGAAAACGGAGCAGTTATTTACCTGGAAAATCAAACCTCTTCTACCAGAATCAAGATCAAGATCATTTCTAAAGCAAAAATTTTAATTTATCTATATATTCCTATAGAATCTATATATCTATATGGAAAGCTAAAGAATAAAGAAAAGTTTAAGCGTTCTCTTTTGTTCAGCATTTCTATTTTTTCTTTTTTCTAGAAATTTTTGAATTTTTTCTTTTTTTTTATGATTTGCCTAAATTTAATTTTTCAATTTAATATTTAGTAATTATATTAATAATTGATAATTTCAAACCTATATTAATCAATTTCTAACATCTCTTCAATCCCAACTAGAACTCTTAAAATCTAACTAAGTTATTTCAATTGGAAATACTTTTGTATATAATACTAATCTAAATCTCTATCTCTTCCAACATTAAATTTTCTACTACGAAGTTGAAAGAAGAATGGAAGAAAGATTGGGTCATTCCTTCATATGAACCTTGTGACTTTCCCATTTTCCGCCAAAAGTAATTAATTTAGTGTTTATTGATTTTTAGGCATTAGAATGGTTACATATTACTCTTTGTTTCATGTTTCAATGTTTTTTATTTTTTAGAGGTTACTTTATGAGATCAAAAACTTAAGTCCTTTCAAAAGCTCAGATGTTAAAAAAGCTTCATAGGGAAGTTTCAAATTGTAATTACAAGCGCAAAAGGCTGTTTCAATGGAACTTACCCAGCCCTTGATAACCACTTCCGTATGCTTGCCTAATCCAACAGATTGAGGTCTGTAGAAGAAATTGACTATTCATTCAAGGAGTAAAATAGCTTGGATTTTGTTCTTCCCATAAATTACAATTAAGTTCAATTAAAGTTTTAAGATAAATCAGTTTGTACGATAACTAATTGTGTTATTTATACAGATTCCATTCCAACTTAGATATAGATCATGTGTTGCTAGATTTTGCTTACTAATTCTGCTTTTTCTTTCTTCTCTTTTCTAAATTTAATTTTATAAACCTTTTACTCAATTTATGTTTCTTTGTATTTCTTCTTCCACGATTTTTTTAATAACTCATTTATTTATTATTTTTATTTTTTGAGGTACGGATTTCTCGATACAACTCGAGTGTCTGCTTACTTATTAAAATGTGCAACAAGTGATTTGTGGCGGTTGGGCAGCCGAAAAAGTTGAGTTACTCAACGTGGGACCTGTTTTTAATTGTGGTTGGCAGTATGAGTGTCAAAACGGCGTTGGCGTATTCGAGTTCGACACAGATTCACCTAAGCACGCGATACGATTATGGTCAAAACGAACACGGGACCCGTTTAATAATGGTGTCTCAAGATTGTTAGATTTTTTAATAATTCTATATGTGACCCATTGTGATTTAAGAGCTGGTTTCTATTTAAGGTTGCGGCCCAAGATGATGGTTATTGGGCTTAATGGATATAGGGACCGGTTAGGTTTTAATACCCTTCCTCTGCACTTTTATAAAAGATAAAAGGAATCAACAGTTAGGGCTTAAACGGGACAGAAAGAAAAGAAAAGAGTGTGTGATGGCTATCTCAAAACCACATAGGTGATTAGGTTGTTTGGAGCGAGAGCGGAGAAAGAAAACTTCGTAGCTGTTTGATTATCTCTGACCATTAAAAGAGGCTTTACGGATAAAAGGCCAGAGTGAAGAAAACAGATTCTACTTATTTACGGTGAGAATCGAATTGCCGCAACGAGTTAAATCAATAGCCATGGTCAAGGTACGCTTCCGCCTTTATTGTATAATTCCTATCAACAAATTCTATGAACAATTAGATCTGTGCTATATTAAGTACTTCTATACTTGTTGGCTATCGGAGCTATATATGTTCTAGATTTGTTTGTAGTGGTTTTGTTTGGCTTAATTAATTGAAATTAAATTTTGTATGTGATGATTGATTTTATCTTTGGTTTAAACGAAGCAAAAATTATAGAAATTTCGAAAAATTGTTTTATTTCTATGCTTATAAATTGTTCTACCTGTCTATTTTATAAAGAAGTTTTTATGACATGCTTATTGTGTTATGTCGTAAGTTTGAGATCTTATTCAATCTCATAAAAGGTTTGCATATTCATTGTTTTAATGAATGGAAAACTGTTGGCACCAAAGTGGCCTTGTTTAGATTTATTTTAGACATTGATATATTACAGCTTTCAATTGTTGCATGTTTGTGTGATTTGCCATTAAATGACATGAAGTTAAAAATTGGAACAATTTGAGATCAATTGATTGTAAATTTGTTTAGGTTGCCCAAAGGTTCTAGACCATTAATTATAATCCAATGGCATTAAAGAACTTATCATTATACTAATTAATTTGAATGTATCCAAGATTATACATGCATATTGTATGGCAGGCATTATTGAAAGTTGAATGGAAAAAAAAAAAAACTTTAACTAGATTCCAAAAGGAGCACTGGCGTGCTGTGGACTTCCAAAGAGAAGCACGGGCATTGCTGTAATGTAGCCATGGGCGTGGCCAGACTTCCAGAGAGAAGCGACGGGCGCGGGCTGTGCTTCTCTTCTGACTTGTAAAGGTCGCCAAGTTGCTTCATAAAGGTTCGCAAGTTGCTCCACATCAATGAAAGTCTGTTAAAGATATTTTCTTCTGACATCGTTATTTGTTTTAATAGCCTATGTATTTAAGGTATTACCCAAAGGTAATTTTAAAAATGCATAATTAGATTGTTATTTGTTTGAATCCATTTTATGTTTACTTCAAAGTATTTAACGTATGAGTATATGTTATAATGTTGCAGCTTTTTTTAACATTGTTTGCTATGGGCACTGGGTTGAATTAAGTTCAATGGATTGAACTATTGCTGCATTGGGTCCGAACAATCCATTTATTAGCTAGGAGTTCTGGGACTTGATCTGGCATTAGTCTATAAAAAAGCCAGCAGCCCATATACAGAGCTAGCAACTGAAGCTTGACAAGTTCCATTAAGAGGCTTGGGAGCGGTCTAAAACAGGCTGAGCTTGAACTTAATGAGGACGGACAATGGCTGAAAATATTAAGCCATTCAATGCCCAGAACAGACATGCAGAGAGTACATGCTGAAAAAAATTAAGGAATACTTCCCAATCGGGGACATAGCTGACAAGTCATACGTAGGATTCATTGATGAGTAAGCTAACGACCAAGAACTTTGATTGAGTCACAATTTCCATTCATGATCAATGTGACTGGCATGCAGAACTTTGGCAGACTAAACTGAAAAATCCATGGGAATGGATGTGAGTGATTCTTTTTTTAGTCAATATTATTTATTAAAACTCACTTCCTCTAAGGTTTGGTCAGTTCCAGGTGAATTACAACACCCTTTAAGGAAACAACTGGAACATTCAGAAAAATTCAAGGCCATGTTGATATAAGAGCAAGGAGATTAAAAGGAAATTGAAGGAAACACTCCGTCCAAATCTCACATTTTCATAATGGAGCTCAGTAGCACAACAACAAATCAAAGGAAGAAAGACAGAAAAGCAGTGCCCCAATGAAGGTTAATTGAGGGCCAAATCCGTAAGGGAGTTTGAGTGCTACTTCTGGAGGAAGAGTGATCAATTCCAAGAAGGATTGTCCTAAAAATGAAGATTTGGTTTGAAAATAAAGGTAATACGTTATGTATTTCAGTATGTTG